AATTGTATGTGACTCAACTGCACCTAAAACAACAACATGGACGTAAGGGTCATGTGCTCAACTGCTAACTGAAAGATAAGCATCTGAACCCAAGAAGCACCCCTGTGGGAGAAAGACCTAGTAATCTGTTCCTGTAAAGATTACAGCCTAGATTATTCGTTGTTGTTAAGTGCCCTCATGGTATATCCATGAAATATTCAGCACTCTCCTCCAGTACCACAGTTATAATTCTCTCAGGGTCGCTATGTGTTAGAATCTACTTGAGGGCTTCTAGCAACATTCCTTAAGTAGTGGAGAAGACAAAGCACAGTGACAGCATTACAGGGACTTAGGAAGTGTTGAAGCTTCTTCCTGGTCATCTTCAGACTCTTCACCAGCCATGTTTCACCACTGATTATGCAAAGGGAACTCATACCCCTCTACATGTCTCCATGCATGCTTCCAAGAAAACAGTCAAAAGAGTTCTGCCTAAGAACAGTAAGAGTTTCATTAACGGCACATAATAACAACAACCATAGGACAGTGCTGAGCATCTGTAGATGAATAAATTAATCAGGTAAACTTGGGATTCTGACCATGCCTTGAAAGAGAAGAAAGCACAGCCAATTTGCACTGTGCTTTTTTCCAGTTACCTTCAAGCTGATTACAACTCATGCCAGTACTTGTGTCCAAGTAAAAATGTGCCACACAGAATTTTCAATGGCTGTTTTTATCAAAGTAGATTGCGAGGCTTTTATCCTGAGAATGGACTCAAACTTCCAAACTTCTGGTTAGCAGCAGAGTTCAGGAAAGTTGTTTCCACCAAGCTGATTTTCACAAGAGTTTATAGAACCAGGAGTTGAGAAATTGAGTCCTTTGGACTTAAGATCCCAGCATAGTGCACCTAGCTGGTATAGGGGGTTCCTCTGTGAATGGATCTGTAGGGTCCTTTTAACTCTCTAATATTCCAAGAGCTAATCAGAAGATGTGGTGAGGTCATGGTGAAACACTATGTGGCTACCTGAAAAGTTGGTTGTTCAAACCCATCCCATGGCTCTGTGGGAGAAAGATTTGGCTATCTGCTTCTCGAAAGACTGCAACTGCAAAACCCCTATGGGGCTGGTCTAATCTGTCACAGGGGGTCACTATGAGTCCAAAAATTTACTTGACACCACAAAACAATCTGGGAAGAGCTGGTCAGGCCAGAAGGATTATTATAAACTTAGAAACTTTGAGATTTACAGCCTCCAGCATGTATCACACATGAGGGAACTTTCGTAACTCAGCTTTACTGAAGGAATTTTGCTTTTTAACTATGTAAGGTTAATGAGCAACTTTAATAATTTCTTCCTTGTGCAACAAGTATCAACAGTAAAATTTCAGGAATGTATTTTTAATAGTGCAAAATGATATTAGATCTAGAAATCTGGCCATAGTCCAATCAATTGGGAACAATATCTTTGCTGAGGTAGTATTTGCTATGGTCAGTCTTTTTCTTTCTCACCTTGAAAATAGTAGTGATTTTTATTTTAGCATTACAAATTTTTTTTCCAATCAATAATTTATTCATTGCTCATATCTTTTTACAGAAAACCAGAATAACATAAATGGCAATTATATACATGGATCTTACCTAAAGGAATATACAAGTATCAAATTGGTTTTATCTATAGAAAGAGACAATACAGAACTCATTATCAGCTGTCTAAACAAGCATTGAGGCTGATTGTGGAGCAGAACATTAATTACTCATATGCAATTTAAATTTCAGCAAATGTATATATATATATATAGCAACTATTCTTTTTTTTTCAATGCAGTAAACATAATTTATCCAGTTTTTCTCAGTCTTACCGCCACCCCAATGTCAGCCTCACTCTATAACAGTGGCACCATATAATATTTGTCTCTTTGTGACTGAGATTTTTTACTCAGCATAATGTCTTCCAGGGTTACCCATTTTGAATAATATTGCAAGTCCCTTGTTTTTCAAAAACTTTGTTTTACTCAAAAACCAATGCAAACATCCAATAAATTATTTCCTTTGTGTCTGATAATTTAGTGACTACACAAATGTTCATCTAATTTATCAACATGTAAGGCATCTTTTGTGAAAGAAAACATTGTAACATATAAGGGACCTGTGTAAACATTTTCTTATTAATATGCTGCTCTTGGTATTGCTTAAAGCCTTCAATTATTTCAAGAACTCTAGGGAACTTTGGTGGCCTAGTGAGTAGGGACTTGCTTTGCCAACCCCATGATGTTGTTAGATTCCGTCAAGTCAACTAGGAATCATAGTGACTCTACTAAGAATGGGTCAGAACCCTGTCTTATCTTGTGCCTCCTTCATCATCTCTAATATATTTGAGCCCATTGCTGCAGTCACTGCATCAATCCATCTCACTGAGAGTCTTTCTCTCCTTCACTGACCTTTTCATGCATTATGTAGAATGGCTCCCCTCCTAACAACATGCCTAAAATATGAGAGATGAAGCTTTATTGTCCTTGCCTCTAAAGAACACTCTGCCTGTACTTTCTCCAAGACATTACCTATTTGTTCTTTCGGCAATGCATGAGATAGATATTAAGTGCTCTTCTCCAACTCCACAGTTCAAAGGCATCCATTCTTCTTCTGTCATCCTTATCCATTGTCCAGCTCTCACATGCATCATAAGTTTTGAGAAAGCTATACAATATAAATCAGGCAAACCTTAGCTTAAAATTTATATTCTTGCTCCTTTGTCCTTTGAAGAAGACGTTGACTAAGATAGGTGGCTTAAATCTACAAGCTGCTATGAGGGAGAAAGATAGGCAATTTCCTCCCATGTAATTTACAACCTCTGAAAACCCACTGGAGGATCAGCTCTAAGTTGATTCCAACTCAGTCGTAAGGATTTTTTAAGTCGTGTTAGTAGAATTCAAGCATCCCTAAGTGATGCAAATTATTAATACATTTGTCTGCTAATCAAACATTTAGAGTTTTGAGTCTCCTCAAAAGTGCCTCAGAAGAAAAGCCTGGTATTTAGTCTACTTCCAAAAATCAGCCCTTGAAAACTCTCTGAAGCAAAATTTTACCCGGATCCACAGGGGGACTTACACAAGTGGGAAAAGAGTCCACAGCAATTGGCTTCGTTGGTTTTACAGACATGATCAATGTCTTGAGTCTTGTAAGCGGTTCTTTTTAGCTACTTTCAATCTCAAAGAATCACATCCCACTTGGTGCTGGAGACCAACTAGGGAAAACTATTCAAATCGGAGACTGCAAAATAGGAAGCACTGAAGCCTTAGTTTTGCACAATATATAAGCATTGTGGGTTTTTCTGAGCTGGAGGAGGACTCAAAGAGGAAACAGCGCAGCTCTAAGCTTCTAGGAAGCTAAGACCACAAGGGTTAAGCCTGGATGTGCTATTTCAGTTCAAGCAAGGAGAAAAAGAAAAGATTCTGCAGCTTTTTTCCCAGTTTGTTTCTTTTTTAAATTACTGTCATGTTAGGGTTGAGAAGACTATATTGAATTTAGTAGTGTCCCTGGGGGGGAAAGTATAGCTGTTGGAGGAGAGAGGTAAATCTCTCCCCATAAGATTTCGTCAGCCTTGCCTACGAGAGAACGTTGTGTGTGCACAGCAAAGCAGTTGCAAACAAAAGTGGCAACAGTTTTAACCAAGGTTGTGACCTTCTGGAACCAGATCTTCAGACCTGTTCTCTGGAATGCCTTTGGGTGGTGGGTTTGAACTGCCAAGCTTTGGACTAGTAGCCAAGCGCCACCCAGGGACTCCTGCAAGCAACTACAGAGTAATAATTAACCAAGTAAAGGCAGAAATTTGACAGGGTGAGTACAGTCATTCAATAATATTTAGCAACATTCTCATACTTGGCAATTTCACAGCCAAGCCCAGACAAGGAAGCCAGGAAGGAGTTCAAAAACCCTTAAACTTATATGTGAGGAAATGCACATTCTGATGAAATGTTTTCCGTTTCATTTTTGGTTTCTCTACACACAGGCGGAACTAATTTAGCCGCAAATGGACTTTTTCAATGTGCAAAAGTCCACTCTGCAACCACCGCCACACAAGCCATCCTGGAATTGTCCCACGGGCAAACCACCAGGCCTGGACGGGTTCCACTTAGGCCACACGCCCCTGACCTTCGCACCTGTGGGCCTTGGGCCACTCTTAGCCCATAGCAGACACCTGCATTTGCCCTAGCTTTGTGCCATGTGACCCTCACTAAGGACCTTGTGAGGTGTAAGGTTCAGGCTTCAGTGTCTTTGTGGGTAGAAGATGAAACTACAGCTGGACCAGCGCTCTGCTCCCTGACACCTCGTTGCTGGGAACTCAGCTCCTCGAGGGCACAGAGTCCAGCACCTGGAAAGGTCCCCAGCGGCTCTTCGGTCCAGTACTACTTTCTATTACACTTTGTAAACGTTGCTGTTCCCTCCAGTCCTGAAAACATTTTCTCTCCAAATAGAAATGCGCAATGTCCCTCCTCTCACTCGAGGAATACTTTGATCGCAGATCTGTCTTTCCTAAAGACCCCCTAGCCATCCAGGCTAGACGATGGGGGATGCGGGGGTGGGCCAGGGGCGGGGAGCTGCGGGCTAGAGGATCTGGGGGCTCTGAGGTCTCGGCTGGCACAGCAGAGTGGCCGGCAGCTAACAGGCAGCTTTGAGTGCCTTAGCGCAGCTGAATCAGCCTTGAGTCACCTCTTGCAGGGTCTCGCAGTTTCCTACCGAGAGGAGGCGGGGAAGGGGTGTGGATTTGCCAGGGGCCGCCCACCATGACGGCATGACCCGGGCCGGGGGCGGGGAGTCACACAGGGCTGCGGGGGCGGGAGCCGAGGGCCCCGGCTCTCCTGAGCCGGCGCCCCCGCGGGCTTTATAGCACGCACCGCAAGGGCTCTCTCAGACTCGGGGTTCCCCGCTCCCCCTATGCTCCATTCAACCACTTACGGGCCCTCCAGCTCAAACTTCCCGGCCTTCGGGACACAGCCAATCCACCCGGCTTCGCCAACAGTTCATGGAGATGACGCCCCTCACTGGACTCCATTCCTCGCGCCCCAAGGCCTCTGCTGCCCTACTGCTCGCCTGGGTCTTCACCCAGGTGACTGGAGCCCTAGGTGAGTGCTCACTGATCCCCTCGGCCAGCAGGCATTGCTCGCCCTGGGGTCAGCAAGATCCTCGATTTCCCTGGAGAGTCTCAAGGTGCCTCGGTGCCCACCTGACCCGGGCGCGCTCACCTAACCCGGTTTGAATGAACCGCGCGAGGCTGGAAGGAGTGGTTGGTGCTCCGGGTTCTAGCGGTTGCCTGGTTCTTCTGGGAAAGCGCGCACCAGAGTCGGTTGTGTTGTATAAGGACATGTTTGGATCCGCTCTAGATTTGGGAAAGAGCCTTCAAGAATTGCCCAGACCCAGAATTATCTCAGTGCAAGATTTTGCTGCCAACGCAGGGTGAGGAGTGCCGGTAACCCGTGACAACCGGCTTAGGTCTGGAAATGCATGTTCGAGGAGGGGTCCTGGGGCGCACCTGCACGGAGCCGCGTCCCGGTTTGGAAGTTATGTTTCCATTCACGAGCATCGCGCCTTGGTGTTGCAAAATGTTCATTGCTTGGAGCCGGTGCGGCGCTGTGTGTGCCTCATCTCCCTGAGCAGTGTAAGGACTGGGCAATACTGGGGAAAATTACCTTAGTAAATTAAGCACCCTCACCAAATATGCTGAACAGTGTGACAGCAGCACCGCCACCTCCATCTCTGGGGATACTTCGGTATAGACAAACTTGCAGAGACACATGAAGAAAGTCCAACTTCATTATCTCATTGTATGCAGCCCTAACTCCTTCTACACTCATAGGTTTTGTGAATTTCTACCTGTGCTGGCCTTCCTGATGATTTGCACCTTGGAAAGGTGACCTCCTGGACTTGTGCACGCAAGTACACCCTGGACTCAGGTGGTCGCTGGGCTGTAAAGTCAGGTCAGATTACAGCAGGACTTTCCTCCAGTTTATTTGCAGTCTCCAGCAAGTTTTTCAAGGTTTCTGCCTGATTTCCGTGAATTATGGAGTGGATCTGGCGTGAGAGAATTCCGGGTCCAGAAAATTTTTGAAGGCTCCTTTTAGGGGGTGGGGGTGGGAAAGTCAGAGGCTATGATGACAGGAGGGTGGTAGGGTGTTTTATTCTATTAAAGTGAAGTCATCTTGAGAAGAGCTTGTGTTGGTAGCAATTTCTCTGTTGTTTAAAGGTGCTACGGATATATTGGTACCATATAATTTAACTTGGAAATCAACTAATTTCAAGACAATCTTGGAGTGGGAACCCAAACCCATCAAACATTTCTACACTGTTCAGATAAGGTAAGCTAGGTGCTTTTAAAAAAAAAAAAAAAAGAATCACAGATTTTATAGTTTCTACATTTCTGTCATGAATACAAATGTCTTTAAAACCAAATCACGGATGAGATTGTTTGTCAGGTGGTAAGAGACAATTTGCGGACCAATTCAGTATTCTGTCAAGACTGAAACATTCTCAGATCTAAAGGTGGTGTAGGGTTTTAATTGGTTTGGAAATGATAGGAAAGACAAAGCTTTTGGGGCGAGTGGTAGAGGCCCCAATACATTTATTTCTACATCAAAAATAGCAAACCTCATCTAAGCATGGATGCTTTTTCCTTTGCTAACTGTCTAGACTGCAGCCTAGTAAGGCCAGAGGGGTGGAGAGGAATTTGGATACATACCTTGCCCTGCAGCTACGTTTGATTCATTAATCTGTGGACTCCCTGAACCAAACTTGAGTTGCATAGGTACTCTCTGCAGAGGCCAAATTAGTGATTCACCCTGCCAGGAGGAGAGACTCATGTTTGCACCCACTGTTGTCAAGGGAGCTCTGGTAGAGAGTCCATGGGGAGTTTCACTGCTAACCTCACTGCTGACCCTGCGTATCTACCAGGGACTCCTGGGGAGAACGATGGGCATTCTCCACCCATGGGATTTACGGCCTCAGAAAACCTGATGGAGAGTCAGTTATGAGTGGATTCCGACTTGGCAGTAGTGGGTTGACTTCTCCAAGACTGCCTGTCCTTTCTCCTGTTTTGCTAGCTCTTCTGAGGCCTTGGTCAGTCAGTACATCCTGTACAAACATTAGTGGTGTGTGGATAGCATTCCTGATGGTTTTCTCCATATTCTTTACACAAAATTTATTTTTTAAATGCTCTAAAAGCTTAGTAAAAGTTTTCTTAAATGGGGGAAAACAGATACAGAAATGCTTTTAACACTAATTAAAGACCAAAAGTATCACTGACTAAAATGAAAGGGTTTTTCTGATTTCAGAAATTTGTTCGTGCCTCTGTTTTTAACTAATATCAAACCTTTTCTAGCAGTGGGACAGCAGTTTATAAGTACAGGGTGGCTTGTTTGAGGTGGATGCCCTTGTTTTTAAAAGGGAACTTTAGGATAACTATTACCAAAGCTATACATGGAAGAGAATATTGTCTGTGTGTGTGTACACATGTGTATGTGTATATTTAGGTGGATAGATAGCTCAGCCTATGGGTGTATAAAGATAGAATAGTTTCATAACCTAAATTAATGGTCAACTTGGTTCATTCATAATATACTGGTTGTTAATTCCTCTAATATGGAGCTGAAAGTTACCATAAAGACATTTCCTTCTGGATATTACAAAATAAAGAAATAGTGAAATAAGGTTGTAGGAAGAACATTTCTTTCCTAAATGCATTCAGACTTAAGTTTGGTGTATATGTGGAAATGTATTTATGGTTGACCTGATTTTTTTAAAAGTATGGATTTTGTTTTCTCTTAGTTCATGAACTTTATAGAGCTGCTTTTGTTTAATGTGGGTGGCCCCTCGTCTGCAGCCAGCTGCATGTAGAGCTGCAGCTTCGGGGTCCATTCGTGGGCACAGATGCACCTGCTGACTGAATCCATGTCCCTGTGTTCCCTGCCCATCAGCCCCAGGCAGGAGGAATTGTGAACAGTCCCATCAGATTCGACCACCCTTCTCTCCACAGATAAATGAGATTACTTTCTTCAAAGGGACTGTAGCACACGCGTTAGAGCTGAGAAACTGTTGTCTGATGAGACTGTTGTCCTAAGACATGCCTGCAGGTCTGGGACTGTGGTCCTCAGTAGCCCACACACCTTCTAAGTAGCTTCTGCTGCCTTCTGGCCCTGAGGGAGACTCTGTGCCTGGAAGGAAAAGGGAAAGGCTTTTCCAGCCGACGTCTACCCTGTGTTTTCTGTCTTCCCTGTGTTCCCTGCCAACAATCATGTTAACCTGCTGCTCCTCTTCTCTGTCCATCTGCCTGAACTACCCAGCCTGACCTCAGCCCTGGGGCACCACTGCTTACCCAGTGCCCCTTATTGAAGTTCTAACTACATTTCTCCATTCTGGAAACAGTTTTAAATAATAGCTGTTGGAAAGGGTTCTTGACTCCAGGCTTAGCCCTGAACTACCCCTGGTATATAATATAGAGTCCATGGGAAAGTTCTCAAGTCTCAAATTCACTCTATTAAGTTCCTGGGACTGTCTGTATTCTGTTGGCATGTTTTGGTAATTCAGGTAGCACTTTTCTTTTTGGGCTTCCAAATCTTTGTGCTAAATTTTGGCATAAAATGTGTGATTCCTGTGTGTGTGAGCAGGAAGACACCAGCCGCCCTCTCTCAGCTGGAGTGTGCAAATGTTCCTGCTATTTGAGTGACTTCCCACAGTCACTCAGACAGGGGAGGGGGGAGCCCCGTCATCACACACTCATTCTTTTTTGAAGCGAGAGTTATATATTTGTTAGCAATACATTTTGGTTATTCTGGAATAAGACAGACTCTCTACTTTTCTCTTAGACAAAGTAAAACAAGCAAATGTTTCTGTATTTATCCTAGTTTGTGAATTTTAGGACAAGGAGTGGGTTTATCCAAACTCTTCTATTCCAATTCACAGTCTTCCAGAGTCAAACCAATCCACTTCCTATGAACTTTGAGAAACGACAATAGTTATAGAAAGACTTCACATCTTTTGTTCATAGGGTCACTATGAATCATTCTCAACTTACGGAAATCAACAAAAGCAACTATTCCAGTTATTTAGTGAAGATTTTTCAAATGCACATTATGGCTTTTATGCATGGATTTAAACAATTGAATCCATATGAGGGCTTGCCTTCTCCATCCCTCAGTTAATTAATTAAATGTGTACATTCAGATCATTTGATATAGAGCAGGACCAGCATGTGTGCAAAGTCCTGCTGCTTAACCAGAGACACAGGGCATAGCCACCCAGCATGAAACAGCCTATGTTCACATGAAAATTCAATGAGATGGTCCTGGGGACGGAGGAGGGAAAGGTGAATCCTGAGATCTCAGTGATCCTGAGAGGTTCCCGGGGAGGTGAGGAGGGAACTCAGCTTTGAACAATGAGAATAGTCCTGGCTGTAGATGGTACTGAAGGGAAGAATGGTGCAGCTGTCACTTCACGTGCTTGTCTCTAGATTGTTTGGGAACATTTCTATTTAGAGTTCTCAAAATCTTTGTTTCTTCAGTTATAGCTTAGAAAACAAAGATTTGTCATTCAACTTCTTAATCTATCAGACCTTGTTAAACAAGTACTCTGTGTTCTTGTTCTGTAAGCTTGGTCACGACGTCTTTGCATCTTGTAAAAGTGGAGGGTGAAGGGGAGGACACATGGATCAAAAGGAGGCAGACAGACCTGACTCAGCTCTTCATTTACTATGTGACTTTGTGTGAGTTGCCTGGGACTCTGTGAGCTCCTGTATTCACATCTGTAAAAAAGATCCTATTCTGATACCTTTTCAAAAAAGTTGCATCCTGTGAAACATGTGCAAGAACCCTGTGCACTAATTGGCATATAAGAGATTCAGTAGCAGATGAATAGCCACACTAGTAATGGTGATGAGAGAACGAAATAAATAGAATATGTTGGAAGGAACCCTGATGGCTCAGTAATTAAGAACCTAACTGCTAACTGAAAGGGTGATAGTTCAAATCCACTAGCTGCTCTGCAAGAGAAAAAATGTGACAGTCTGTTTCAGTAGAGATTATAGCCTTTAGGGACCCTATGGGGGCAGTTCTGGTCTGTTTTATAGGGTTGCTATGAGTTTGGATCCACTTTATAGCACTTAATAACAACTATGCTCTTTCCCAACAAGGCTGCACATTAGTAGGCATTAAAACTGAGTTCAGAGGCCAAACTCAAATGTTAAATTGTTGATTCATGAGAAATCCAGTTGTGTCACTTAGAGTGTTAGCTCCTCTCAATTTGCCTCAGTTACCTTTGGTGTAAAAGCAGGGCTGTTTCCAGAGCCACTGCTGGGTGTATGAAGACTCAGGCCGCATCTCAAGTGCCTCATTGAGATTAGCCATGATTGATGCTGTATTAACACAATGCCACAACCAGAAGGCAGTTCATCCTGGTGGATGCAAGTCATAACCTCCCGTTTCTTTCTCTCTCCCTTTCTTTAGCACCAAATTCGGAGATTGGAAAAACAAATGTTTCAGAAGAACAGCAACCGAGTGTGACCTCACCGATGAGATTGTGAAGAACGTGAGACTGACATACACAGCGAGAGTTCTCGCCTACCCAGCGGGGAGTGGGCAAGCCTCCACTCCTTTTGGGGAACCTCCGTTTACAAACTCTCCAGAATTCACCCCTTATGTAGAGAGTAAGTAGCAAGAGAAATGACTGTAATAGCCTTTAATTCTTGTTAAGCTCATTGCCATGGACACAGTTCAGGCTCATCAACCTGATAGGACAGAGTACACCTAAGCTGGAAATCTTTATGGAAGCCAGACAACCTCATCTTCATCTCTTGGAGTAGCTGGTGGAGTTGAACCTTTGGCCTTTCCATACCTAGTCACTGCACCACCAAGACTCCTTGCTGGTTCAAAACTCACTGCCATCAGGTTGGAGCTGACTCATTAGTTAACCCACCACTGGGTTCTCAGAGGCTGTAAATTGCACAGGAGGAGATTGCCAATCTTTCCCCCTCTGAGCCAACTAGTAGATTCAAACCGCCAGAGAAGCAGGGCCTTTGGGCTTCCTACACACTAAGCCACAAGCATAGAAACTTCTTAATATTTTGGTGAGCTGCTGCTACTTCAGCCAATAAATTTTTTAAAAATTTCTACATAAAACACAGTTTCTACTTTCAGAAACTGGTAAGTGCCACAGTCCTGTTCACTCACTCTAGCTGTGGTAGGAATTGCTCAGGACAGGAATTCAGAGTTGATAGTGATGTCATCAAGCAGCTTTCTCTCCTGGTCTGTCACAGATCCCCTAGTGACTGGCTAGGAGGGGAAAAATATCTACGAAGGTGGGATTTCATCTTGTCCTCTCTGTGTGTCACATGTCCTGAATTATCTATCCCATCTTTGAACCAGAAGTCCAAGTTTCAGGACCTAAGCTCAGGGAAGGTCCATATAGTTTCCTTCTAATAATCAGGGTGCTGACCTGTCTTAGTCCATCCACCATGATTGAGTCCTCGGATATGGCCGTACTTGCCCGCTGTCAGCCACCTCGTAATGTGGTATGTAAGATGTGAATGCTTTTTTCTGCACCCCATACCCCAGTAAATTTATTGTTTGATCTAACAAAAGAATGCAAAGAGTTCTTTCCAAGAAGGGAGTTAACAAAAACTTTTCATGGGCATCTGTGATTCTCAGCCAAGTATTTTAAATAAGCATGTGGCACATTGAGAACAAGTGAGCCTGGCTTCTCTTTTAAAGCCTGCTGTTTGGAACTCTGGGAGCATAATCTGTTGAGAATTGTGCTACCAACTCAAAGACCTTGCTTCAGGTGCTTTGTATTGTCCAGTGGCTTCTCAGAAGGAAAGGGGATAATCTCCTCCCATGCGAGTTACACCCTCAAGACCCAGTGGAGGGTCAGTTACAAGTTAATTCTAGCTTGACCGCAATGAGAGAGAGGTGAGAATGAAAGTGTTGTGTTGTTGGTGTTTCTCAGTTTACCTCTCTGGCTATTCCATGAGAAAGGATGGCATTTCTGGAAGTGGACAGGGAGAAGAGACAAGATAGAGACAACTTCATCAATTTCTCTTTTACGGTTATTGTTTGCCATCGGAACCAATCCATTGCTGACGTTCTGGTGCGTTTTCAGAGGCAGTTAAGCACACAGGAGGAGATTGCCTGTCATTTTACTGCTGAGCAGCTGGTGGATTTGAACTGTGTGCCTTCAGAGTGGCAGGGCAGCATCTTAACACGAGGTCACAAGAGCTCCATTTACTTTTATTAGTGGCTCAAAATAAGGAGCAGTTTTACCCCAGATGTGTGTGGCTGCCTCCCACGAGCTCGTGTGGAAGAGCCTCTTCCTGACTCCTCTGGTGTTTCCCATGTAGGGCTCACTGTCCTGGGGGGGACCCCTGGGCAGCCTTCTCCAGCACCTACAGGATCATGCTCTTTCTGCCTGTGATTGATCACATCTCATTTTTTTCCTTACAGTACTTGACTTTTTTAAGGCCAGTTCTCTTTGTGAAAAAGGAATATAAAATGTAATAGTGCAAAGTAGAGTTCTACTCTACTATATGTCTGTTCACCTTGTGTGCGTGCACATACATATAAGGGCAGATTGTCCAATAAACAAAGTAAGCACAAATTTATTGGTGCTTTGCTCATCAGGAGTGAACAGTTTCACAGCTACGGTGAAAAGCATGGACAAGTGTTCGTTTCATATTATTAAGCCCATGCTTATTGGCTATTCTATCCCTGCCAGAGATTGCAAATTTGAAAAGAAGCTTTTCTTCTGTAAGAAGATGCAGTGGGGTTTGGGAGAGACACTGGTGCCAGCTGTACATAGCAGCAGACTGTCTGATGTAAAAGAAAGTGAAATGGTTCACTACAGATTAGTAAGTAGGCACAGACAGGCCAGCGCGGTGATCCAGCACTGCAAACGTCTGCACACACTTTGTCCTATGATTTGTATCTCTCCCTCTTTCAGTGCTGTTGAGTCAGAACCAAAGCGTAGCTGACCCTCCAGTGGGTTTTTCAGAGCTACAGATTACATCGAGGGACACTGCCCATCTTTTTCCCACTGGTGGACTTGAACTGCCAGAGAGGCATGGCCTTTGGGTTAGCTGTGCAACTTCCCACAGACTATACCACCAGAGCTCCCAGGCTTATAGATGACTGGTGTTAAATGATAGCAATTTGTTTTCATGTCTTTAACCAAAATGCCTGAAATAATTGAGCTATGGCAGAGATCCAATGGTTAAAACCATTTCTGTGACATAGCAAAAACATTCTGTGGGCTTCCCATATCCCCTAATTTATTTTGCCTAATCTGTGGACTCTATAAACTGTGCTGTTCAACACAGTAGCCATAACTACATGCATGTGTCAAACAGGAAGTATAGCTGATGCTGCCAGCATAAGACACATACTGGGTTCCCAGGAATCTTAAGATCTGAAAAGAGTTTTATGTAACTTGTTAAAATGATATTTCAGATCTATTTAGTTATATCCAGATATATTTATACCTAACATGTATTGTTCTTGTTGTTGCTTGCTTTCAAGTTGAGCACGGAATCAATGATCCTATGAACAAAAGGCCTGAAACAACAACAACAACAAAAAGGGGGGTGGGGGGAAGGCCTGAAGCCTTTCTGTAACTATTGTCATTTATCAAAGTTCATAGAGGTTCTAGGGGCAGGTTGTTTAGGGAGTGGATGCCACTCCCACATTCAAAAATATATCTATAATATAACTATATTTAGATATAGTATTAAAATTAACTTTACCTTTTTTAACACTTTCAAATGTATCTGCTAACCAAAAACTCACTGCTCGGTATCTCCAACTCATATTGTCATCCCCTCACCCCTTTGGGCTTCTGAGACTAGAAATCTTTACAGAAGGAGACTGTCCCTCATGGAGCAGCTGATGGATTCAAACCACTGACCTTTTCTTTAGCAGCCTAACACTAAGCACTCTTTGTCATCACAATTTTTTCATGTAGCTACTCAGAAAAATTCTTAAACTCATTACAGTCAAGTTGGAACTGACTTACAGCTGACCCTCCAGCAGCCTTGAGACATTATAAATCATGTGGGAGGAGATTGCTTGTCTGTCTGTCTCGCCAGAGCCACTAGTTATGACTAGAAAGCCTGAAATGATGTCTGTGGTTCTGCTTTCATTGCACAGTGCTGCAGCAGACCAGGGAGTCTTCTTTCAAAGCAAGTGTTTCATGAAAGACAACTAAGTTGTTATAACTAAAGGGGATTTTCTCTGAATGAATTCTTTAGTTACAACCCGACTTGTCCTTTCTGTTTCAGCACTTCTTGGACAGCCAGAAATTCAGAGTTTTGAACAAGTTGGGACAAAACTGCGTATAACAGTACGACCTACACCTACCTTAGTCAGAGCAAATGGCACATTCCTAAGCCTCCGGGATGTTTATGGCAAAGACTTAAGTTATATTCTTTATTTCTGGAAATCTTCAAGTACAGGAAAGGTGAGGTTTTTGTTTTGTTTTGTTTTGTTTTGAATTACAGCTCCCTGATTTTTCACTACCCCACCTTCCCAGTTCAGAAATACCAGCATGGGGGCTGGTGGAGGGGGGGTGTGGGAGTGTGTCTGTTGGGTGTGGAGTCAGGCAACAGATCCCAGTTCTGCCTGTGACTCTGAACAGCTTTGTGACTTTGGACAGTCTCCTCAGAGACCAGGTTCCTACACTGAGGGCTACCCAGATCTTAGCTAAAAACTCATAACAACCCCAGCTGACAGAGTTGGCCTACCTGAAGGGATACTTTTCGAAGTAATCTTTATAAGAACCGATTGTCAGACCTTTGTCGCAGGGAGTTACTGGGGGTTCAAACCACCAATCTTTAGTTGGAAGCTAAATGCTTAACCACTGAGTCACCAGGATTCCTTCACATGTCCACAATTTCTTATGTTACTTGGATCTTTCTTCTACTAAGGATTTCAGAGATAGTTTGTTTTTATTTTAACAAAAAATGTTGAAATAAACAATATTTCTTCCTTATTTTCTCCCCTTTTACTAAGAATACTTTCTCAAGGCCTACAGTGGATTGGATGTGCCTCAATTGGATATCCTTAGTCTTAAAAAGACATCCTTACCAATGATCAAGAGGATGGATCAGCCAAGTCCCTTCAGTCTTAACACCAGGCTTATTCATTTTTACATGGTTTGGAGCTACAATTTTTACCTCCTTAAAAAAATTTTAGAAAAGACAAAACCCTCAGACTCAAATGGGAGCCTGCTCCTAGGTGACCCTCTGGTAGGTTTCCGAGGCTCTAAATTTCACATGAGGAGATTGTAGATCCTTTCCGTCAAAGTCACTGGTGGATTCAGATTGCCAAAGAGGCACGACGTTGGGTTAGCACTAGTAGTAGCAACTTCCTCAGCATCTCAGTAAAGGTGAAAGGGTTCCTTCTGAACCCAGATGAATTAAGAACTCTCTTTTTTTAACAGAAAACAAACAAGACAGAAACAAATGAGTTTTTGGTTGATGTGGATAAAGGAGAGGACTACTGTTTCAATGTCGAGGCTGTGATTGCCTCCCGAAAAGAAAATCAGAAGAGCCCAGAGAGCCTCATTCTGTGCACTAACCATGGAAAAGACCGTATCAGAGGTGAGTGGTTCAGTGTGGATGCCCCTAGAGGGCCAGCTCGGTCCTCAGACCCAGATGACCCTTTGTTCATAAAGTATTCAGAGGGGGGAAAATCACTTCAGGCATTTAGAAATGTATTTCTATTGCTCCTTAGTAAATCCAAATGTTTTCTTGACTGGACACGTAGTATGGGCTTAGTATTTAAACATCAAAATCACAGATTTCTCAGGCTTTTTTCGAGGCCCAAATTCTGGTAAGTACTTTTGGACCAGCAGTAGCCCCAAAAGATATTTATGAGCACTCATAACGGGTATTGTTGTTGTTGAGTCTGTTCTGACCCATAGTGACACAGTGGAAAATAGTAGGACTACTCCATAGAGTTTCCTAGGTCAAAATCTTCATGAGAGATCTTTCCCCCCTAGAGTAGCTGGAGGGTTTGAACCATCCACCTCTTGGTTAGCAGTGAAAGGCTTTACCTGTTGCTTCAACAGGGCTCCAGAGCATAGAGGATATAAAGTTTAAGTCCTTGAGGGAAGAGACTCAGTATATCGAATATATTCAAGTGCATTTGTGTGCACGTGACCATATGGATGTGCCTGC